GTTGGAGAGTAAGGCTGCTTTTTTGGAGATGTTTGTTTCAGGAAGTGCTGTAGCATCTTTCCAGTCTCAAGGAAGAAAAAGAAAAATGTTGTGACTTTGACCTTGGCGCTCCGTTCATTTGGCTTTTGCTATCTAACCCACACCACACTGACAAATACCACATCTGTCTTGACAAGCTAGTTCACAAATAACTGCTCATTCATAACTTCAGGCTGTTGTAAGAATCCTTATTTGTTACTTCAGCTTGTGAACGAGAATGCACAGTTTGGTTTTGAGAAAGACATTGAAACGATCAGAAGTCCACTGGTCTCTGCAGATCTCAGGGGAAGCACTCTCTAAAAGAGAAGACCATATTTTTTAATGTGTTCTAAGAGCACTAAAATATATTATTGCCCATAAATGGGAATTTTCTGGGAAATTTAATTTTTAAGTTTTGGAGTCATTTCTGTATTGGGAATTGAACACTTCTTAGACCAAATTCATCAGGGATTATTCTCTCTAGAGAATACACAGTCACTTTGTCATTCCTTCCACTGGGGGGGTTCATTCTTATAGGGTCATTTATTTCCCTATCCATTGACCTAATCTCATTTTCACTCTGCTTTGACAACTTAATGACCATGCCATTGAAGTTGTTTCTTCTTGCCTTATAATAAACTCATATAACTCAGTTGCTGGCTGAGAAAGGCCAGAATGGGGGCTGGCGGTGGGGCGGGGGAAAGGTAGATGACTTATTCTGATTCGACTTTAGAAGGAGAAAAAAAAAAGGAAAATCACAGACTGAGGACATTTCTTTGTAGAAGATGGATGATTTGGTAAAGGAACTGCCCACTTGGAGGTCTGTCAGGGTTTTCGGTTGGGGAAGTGTTTCTACATCCAAGTTCACACCTTAGCATCTGGGGCTCTGGAAGTTAAGGAGAGAGAAACAGAGGTAGGAGCTGTTACCTGGAAGTAGCTGGGCAGAACCAAAGGAGAATTATGGCTGTCACGTCAGGTTCTAAGGCAGCAGTCCTCACCCTGAGATATGTCTATTATATAGTCATTTTGATCTGAATAGTAACTTAGTCATTCATTCGTACCTCCCCGCAGTGTCAAGCCTTAGGTTGTTAAGTGTGTTAGTAGATTTCACTGGCCACATCTGTGAACCAACCCACTCCTGAGCGAACGCTCTTTCACCTACTCAAATTTTGCTTTTCTCCTCCATGGAATTAGGTGGCAGGTGCTGGTTTGTCTTGTAGAGAGAAATATTTCAGAAGAATTCCACTGTCAGAAAACATCACCATCAATAATGAAACTATGTGTATAAGGTCATGTCTAATTTCATTCATTCTTTGGCAATTGTATCAGGATTCTAGAAAGAGGGTCTTGAGCCAAGCTGACCCCGAGTCATTAGACACTGGGGATCAACGGTTTGCCCTTTCTCAGTAACATTTGCTGGGAATTCTCTAAGTGGAGTAAAAACTCACTGTCATCCAGAGCTGGGAGGAAATGACAGTACCCACTTCCGGAGTTGCTGTTATCAGAGAGATGGTGTTTGCGTGGAGGGTGTTTGGGTGGAGGGCTGGGGAGGGGTTGAGGGGCAGGACTAATTTCATGGGGAGTTCACTGCAGCATTTTTAATGACATTTAATTCTGCTTAAGCTATCATTGCGTTAAGAATGGCTTTCTGGGCTTCCCTGGTGGCGCAGTGGTTGAGAGTCCGCCTGCCGACGCAGGGGACACGGGTTCGTGCCCCGGTCCGGGAAGATCCCACATGCCGCGAAGCGGCTGGGCCCGTGAGCCATGGCCGCTGAGCCTGCGCATCCGGAGCCTGTGCTCCGCAACGGGAGAGGCCACAACAGTGAGAGGCCCGCGTACCGCAAAAAAAAAAAAAAAGAATGGCTTTCTCTCTGACTGAGAGGTGCTTTCACACTACATTCACACTACATAAAACCGTTACTCAGAACAGGCAACTCTTAGGAGAGAACGGTTTCTCTGTGATCCACCTGGTTGGGTTGTTTTGAGGTCAGACGAGCTTTTTGTAAAAGGCCTTTCTAACCTCTGAGTCACAAAGGCCTATACCAGTGCTTCTTGAATTTTACCAAGCACAAGAATCACCTGGAGTGCTATGTGCGGACTCCCAAACCTTTGCCTGCTCCCCTCCATCCAGATTATTATTCAGTAGTTTTTGTTTGTTTGTTTTGTTTTTCTTGGCCGCGCTGCGCTGCGGGATCTTAGTTCCCCGACCAGGGATTGAACCCGGGCCCTCGGCGGTGAGAGCACGGAGTCCTAACCACTGGACCGCCAGGGAATTCCCAAGATTATTATCCTGTAGTTTTAAGGTGAGCTCCAGATAACTGCCTCTTGACAGGAAGGCCAGGTGATTCCCAAGCAGGTAGTTCAGAAACTCACTCTGGAAACACTGTGTCTTTGGGTTTTGTTGCTTTATTTCTTAGCTGTGTCATCACAGGCAAAAATGAGTCCCAACACTTTTATAGTTAGCTTCATTGTTTCTTAGTTATTTTGTAAATGACCCATGCAAAATTTTAATTCCAGGACTTTTTTTCTCTTATGACTTACGTGAGCCATACGAGTACCCCATTATTCATGACTGAGGGCCCAGGTAATTCTAAAAATTTTTATTTCTCTAGGACTATTCACATCTCAGATTTTTCATAGGGTTTCATCTTTTAAAAAGCATTTCACATGGACGCCAAACCTTACTGATCTGAAAAAGTTTAGGCATACCGCAGTGCCACTTCAAACACATAGAAGTTGAAAGTTGATTTTTACGAAAACTAGCAGTTACTTCCTTTGGCCTAAATCATCCCTATTCGCATCATTTATCTCTCCATCCAGTTCATGGGCTTAACTTCAGAGGCACTGTATCAGCACCAGAGCAGCCTGTCCTTTGGCCCTGCTTAAAAACAAACCAACCAACAAAACAAACAAGGAAGGGGAGGAAAGAAAGCATTTTAATACTGTAGCTTGATGGCGGAGAGAGAGTAAACCAAAGGTGCATATCTGAGGACTGCAAGTTGGAAAGGACAAATCATGGCAGTTAGCTTGCCTCGTTTCCCCACAGACTTCGTTTGACCCCGGTGACCTGGGACGATTTCAGGGATCCGGATTCCGGTAATAGAAGCATCCCTGTTTGGCACCACAACACCCACTGGCCTGAAGAAGGTGCTGTTTCCCAGGAAAAGGAGTGAAATCCCCCCAAGAAACGCACAGGGCCCTAGTCTGAAGAGAAAGCATTGCTGAGCAAGCGATGCTTTGCGTACCCTGCCTGTCTCTGGTTCCGTTCCTTGAGATTTTTATTGAGGATAACTTTCAGCATCTCTTTTTAGAGGTCAAATCTGAATGAGAAGACGTTGTGTGCCTTGCTGATCTTGTGACAAACAGTTTATACCCAGTCTGTAGCTTCCTGTCTTTGCTGACGGGTGATGTGAGGGAATTTTCTCTCTGTGAGGCTGTGGAGAGGGCTCTAAAAATAAACAACATGGTTACTTATTGGTGAGAACATGTGTGAGCAGATGTCAGCTGGTAACAGCATATGGTGGCAACATGATAGCAGCGTGTTACCAAGACCTGGGTGTTGGGCCGTCGTCTTCCAGGCCATTCAGGCCATGCAGATGCCACATCTCAATTAAAGAGGGTTTTGACTGGAAGGTGGAATCCACCCAAGTGTGAATATAGGCCCCTGGGATCTTGTTAGTGGGCTGAATGTCGGAGATGGTAAGTTACAGGCCATGGAAAAAGTCTTCCTTATCTGTTTTAAAATTGAGAGATAAAAGTACAAATCTGGCAAAAAAAAAAAAAAAAAAGGGGGTGGGGTGGGGTGCATATGGGGTGGGAGGGAATCCACAAAGCCTTTGTCTTTTGTCCAAAGAAGTTTTCAAGTCAGGTATAAATAGTGGCCATGCTACTTCTAGAAGACATGCCCTAGGTGAACGGAAGGTGCATGGATTTTAAGTTGGTGTAAGGAGCTGGGAAAGAGGTATATTCATGCAGACCTAGAAGGCCGTCAGGGGTTAATCTATCAAATAAGTTAGATAACTAATATTATTACATCCCTTGAGCACCTTTTATTTCTCAGTTTCTTTTAAATATCTCGTTTCAGTCTTTCAAAAACCCTCAGGGGTAGCATGATGTCAGTTTCATTTTATAGCAGCAGAGGCTTGGGTGCCTCAAGGCACTTGTCCAGAGATTCCCAGGAAACTAATGACAGAGCAGGGTGTCCACCTACCTCTTCTCATGCAAACATCTGATATTTATTATTGACTCTATCACAGATAGGATAGCCTTTGAACACTCAGCAATGTTTTTAGCTGGAGGTATCTTTGGGTGTATTTTCATTTATAAGAATATGATGGGCAATATACGAGAACTAGTTGCCACCTTTACTTTTAAAACAGCAAAGTTCAGAATTTCAGGATGTCAAAACTATCACGGAAGATATTTTAATGCATTCCAAGGAGCCCTAGATTTTTAAACGGCAGCTACGCAGCCCCAAAGCAATATACACTGGGATTTTTGTTCACTGGAGAAGGAGTTTTCATGTGCGGGTTAGAAATGATGACAGGTGGTTTTAAGAAAACTGAAATCGAGGCCAAGCAAATGAAAATCAGAGTTTTACTCTTAATAGGGAGTCTGTCTTTTGTCAAAGAGGTCAAGGCCTTTCTTAGTCATCTTTAATGTACGTCAAGGTATTTATTTTACCATTTCCGTATATAAATTGTACATTGCTATTTTAGCACTAGAATGTGTTAAAGGGAACGCTGAATTCAGGAACCTGACTGCTGGTTAAGGGATGCCAAAAGATCTGGGGCGAGAATCCACAATCCCCCAAAGCTCCCTCCGGCCTAGTCCCCTGGCCCTGAGTAGGGGGGACCTTCTGTTTCTGGGGGAATGATAAGTACGTTCATTGAGTCCCTCTTCTGCGTTGAATCTTTGTATAGCTCTGTACAAGGCTTCTCCTCAGTCAAATAGCTAATGACTGTGCTTTTTAAAACTCCTAGCTGTCTGCCCAGTTGTTACAACACCCTCTGGCTCAGTGGGCAGCTTGTGCTACAGACAGCCCCAGGTGCTCTGTGGGTACCTTGGTGAGTACACTCGTCTGCTTTCTATACCTCGTTTGACGTAGTGATAGCCGGCCCATCTTTAGTGTGTGTTGTCTCCTGGGGGGAACGTGTCAGAAGCAAAATAGAATTCTGAAGTGCAGCCTTGTAGCTGGACAGTCACGCAGGTGCCCCCAATTTTGTAGTCAGCGTTTCTATGAGAAAGACTCATGAATGCTTTGAAGTGATATGATGACTTGATTGCCGTATGGGGAAGAATGGATCGTGAGTCTGTGAGATGTGTGTGATCCAGGGGTGAACGAGGGATTTGACAGATTGATCTCTTGACCCCCCCTGGGAGGATACTCTCTGGAGGGTTGAACGGTATGGCCAGAATGTCAAGGGTCCTTTTTGGGTATCTTATTTGAATCTATGTTCTTGTTTCTGGCACATAGCAATGGCTCAATTAATGTTTCCGGCACTGAACTGAAAGGGAGGAAGGAGATTTTCTCTCCTTTGAAGTTCTAGAGGGAGGCCTGTGGGAAACATGTGCTGATCATTGTGACCTTGATGTTGCCATTAATGGGTTGCACGAGAGAATGTGGTGGTCGTGGTCAAGGCTTCAGTTGACTGAACCTGGGAGCTTGCCACTTCGCCCTGACCCTCAGAACAAGTGCAGACTCCTCCAAGCTAGGGCCACGTGTTAGCTTGGGGGCCACCGAAGCCGGAGGTCTCACCCCTTTCTGATTTGGGACATTAATACATTTAGCCAGCTTTGACTGAGTGCCATCTTTTATTGTATGCTGGGCCATGAGACCACAGCACAGAACAGGTCTTAGATGGTCCTGACACTCAAGAACTCTGGCCCAGGTGGTACCCTGATCCATTCAGGAAGGGAGGAAATGGACTTGCCACCCTGGCGTTGGTTCCCACTGCACTTTTGAGGAAGCGTGAATTATATTGATTCTAAATGCAGGTGGAGGTCCCAAATAAGGACAAGAGAAATGTTTTTATTACCCCAGTAGATGTCTGACTCACTGGGTTATCCTACCGTGAACTTTACCATGCCTAACCTTGCTTCTTAGGAATCAAGAAATGAAATAGTTTATTTACAGTGGCCTAAGCTGGGCTTTCCTAAAAAAAAAAAGAAAGAAAAACAAAAACTGATTCTATTGAGAATATACATTTATTTTAGTACAGAAGGCCTCAGAGCGGCTAGAAGCTGCCATGTGAATAGGAAGAGTGAATGGCTTGATCCGTGCTTTTAACGTTCCCCTTTTTTGAGGCAGATTATGTTTGGTTTTCCATCTCTAAATGTGTATTTTATTTCACTGTCTAAACCAAGGAGTTAATTGTCTGATTTTGTTTTCTTTTTTTGGTCTCACCAGCTTTTTGGAAAAGACAAGGGAAAGGGATGAGAGAAGGAAAACATTTGTTGACTACCCCCTAAGTCCCTGGTATTTAAGGCACGTCATCCTGGGTGGGGAGGGCGAGTGCGACCTCCCCATTTTTCCCCACCGGAAACTGTGTCTTGGAGAGGTGAATAATACCTTGTCCTTGGTCATCACCTAGCAAAAGGAGCAGAGCCCAAATCTGAATTCAGGTCTGGCCCTGGTGCCCTCCACCACATGGACCCCAAACTTCTTTTATTTTATTTTTTATTTTTTTGCCCTTCTTTTTGCTTTCCCTTTGGAATCCCATCCCATTCATTTTATAATTCTCTTACCTACCACTTTGGATTCATTTCCTTTTCATGATTTCTTCCCATAGGAAACAAGTGGAGAGGCCTCCCCTAGTTCTTGGCCTCAGACACGCCTTCTCCCTCGGGGTTATTTTCGGTCATTTAATTGCCCCACAAGCTTCCCTATTTCTTTGGTGAAAAAACACTAGAAACCTACCCTGCCCCTCCTGAGTCTGGGAAAATCAGGAGTGTCTCGGAGGGTGTGGCCAGGATGGGGGAGAGAGATGCACAGATTCCCTAAGGTGGGAGCCTCTCCCTCCCCACCCAGCTTCCCTCCTGGGAGGAAACCCTGCGGACCCTTCCAGACCTTCCATTCAAGACTGCTGAGCAGTGGGGCTCTGCATTTTTTTTTTTTTTTTTTGTCTCTGTTCTTAGAAATAGTAATTGAGTAAAAATGTAAGTGAGCGGATGCCAAGGGGCAGGCGTCCAGGGTCAGGGTGAATTTCTCCGTGCTGACTGTGATTCTGAACACTCGTTAAGTGGAGCCTGGCTCGTGCCAAGCGGCTCGAGGGCCATCCCTGTCACCTTGTGTGAACCACCTCTCCATTCCAAGGAGAGGTTGGGAGTGGCCGCAGGGAGGGCGGGGGGCCGGTGGCGCCTCTGGCTTTCCTCCCTCGGTCTCTGACCTGGGTGTAGTTATCACTATGTGTCCTGACACCCATGCTTGGACTGGCAGCGCTGATGCTTCATCAACTTTACATCAAATCGCCTGGAGGAAGAAAGAGTCCTTGCCCCTCACAGCCCATGTGGCTGCTGCGTAATTTTTCTCCCTTTAAGTTCACTCTCCCCAAAAATGTAGGTGAGGATGAGGTGAGCCTGCCTGAAGGTTTTTCTCCTGAGATAGAAGAACCCAGAAGATAAGCGGCCGAGACAGTCTCTCTATGAAGAAATGGGTTAGAAGTCACGAAGGGAAATGCAGCTTCATTCTTCAAGGATGTACTGAGCGCGATGCTTTTTGTTAGCTTGGTTCGGATTTAAAGATGGGCTTCTCAAAGTGTGGCCTGCGTTTGTATGTCCCGAGGGGTCATCGAAAGCAGATTCCCTGACCTATCTCAGGCCTGCGGAGTCAGAATCGCTGGGGCGGGTGGGGCTGAGGAGTACTGTACCTTTAAGAGGCAGCACAGGTGAGTCAGGCCTCACTAAGGGGAGGATGCTCTCATTCTGCTGGTCTGTTTACTCGAAGTCCTTCAGCTTGAAGGATGCAGATCCAGTGGGGCCTCTGTTTGATCAGCTGGTCCTGCAAGTGTGAGACCCTGAATCCACAGCGTGGCTGGGTTTTCACCGTGTGCTCTCCATGTCCCCCCAGTGCATATAGATAGCAAGGTAGATCTGTGGTTAATTACACTTCTCACGCACAACCCCTGCTCACCATTCACCACAGAGGAGGCCCTGCACGTGCAAACAAGTGATGACACGGCGGGTGGATGCCTAGTTGGGATGTTATGTACGGGAGTGAATGCCTCCGTTCAAGTGTGGATTGGGAAGGGGAGTTTCGAAACTAATGTATAATGTGTAAGTGATGCCTAATTTATAATGTCTTAGTCAATGTATAATGTTTAATTCGCTGAGGTAGTGTTTGGTCAAAGCACTGCTGACCTCTTCGTGGCCTGAATCCTGCTCTGAGACATTCCATGGGGTAAGGATCCCGCCAACAATGGAATGTAAACTCTACTTTCTCAGCCAAACTCAGCCACAAGTAACTGCAGTTTTCTCTTTCCAAATAGTGTTTTTTTTTTTTTTTCAACCAGAGGTATTCGAGCAGGTGAAAATCTGACCCAGATATTAAAAAGAAAAAGTTAATGATAAATTACTTGGTATTTTCTTTGTGCAACCCTAGACCTCCTGTTATTTTGATGTTGTTTTGGAAACATCAAGTATTTTGATTCCAGCCATACAATGTGGATATTACATAGTGTTTTTGACCATCAAACTAAAGAAGAAGCCAGTTCTTCTACATGGTCTGTATCACTAAACCAAAAAAAAAATTGTTATTTTTTTTTTTTTATAAACATGCCCAGAAAGTGTCCTTGTGCCCCAAGTGATTTCTATGTTATTTCTACCAGTTTGAGAACTAGGTTGTTTGCTGTGTGGTGAAGGGTAGTCAACTAGCACCAGAGGAAGAGGCACTAACTACAGTGGTTACTTTATAGCCACCCTAGGATTATACTGGTCAGGCTTAATAACCACTAGAAAACATGAAGTTTAAAATATTAATATTATAAGAACTCTTATCACTCTGCAGATTTAAACAATGGGAAAAAAAGCATTTTTCTATTGAAGTAGGAAAAGAATGACGGGTCATATTCATTCTACTTCCCAGCAAGCCTTCCATTAAAAGGTCTCTACGTGCACGACAAATATAGATCGAGTTGTAAGATAAACGTCAAATGCATGCAGAGATCTTGGGAAGACAGAGGTAAAGACGAGACATTCTTACGATACTGTCTCTCACTCCACAGTGTTCATTGTCTGCTATGTAATAGACATCCATCTAGGCACTAGTGATACCATCAGTGAATAAAACAGCAGAAAACTTTGCCCTGGGAGAGCTTCACATTTTGGAGAAAGAAGGTAGACGATTAGTTCAAAAGACGAGATAAGAATGGTAGAATTTGATCCATGCGATAGGGGAGAAAAGCAGCGTTGGGGGAATGGGGAGGTGAGTTGCAATTTAAAGTAGGCTGGGCGTGGAAGCGCTCATTAAGAGGGTGACATGGAAGCAGAGACTTGAAGGAGGGCGTAGGACAGCCCGAGACAACGTGGAGAAGAGCGTTTCTGGCAGAGGGAGCAGTGGGTACCGTTCCTTCCACACTCAAGGATGATCCAAAGTAACCTAGAAGCTGAGATTAGAGAGTTAATGATGCGTCAGGTAGGGCCTTGGAGGCCACTGTCAAGTCTGTGGCTTTTCCTCTGCATAAAATAGGGAGAAGGGTGGTTCTAGCCAAGGGGCTTCTGTGGCTAAATCGAGAAGAGTGCACCGGTAACCAAGGAGGAGCACGAAGCCCAGTGAGTTGGACTTGCACTGTGAAGTTGCACTTAACAGCTGCATTTCTAGGTGAAACTGCACCAAGAACTACAACCAGACCTCCCTTGTGCTGAGTTCCTTCTTTAGCAGACAATTTGATAGGCAGGCTACAAGCGGGTTCCATATGTAGAATATGGTTTTGTTGTTGTTGTTGTTGTTTTGTTTTTTATTGTTTTATATGAATACTCCTGAGTTATTGGCAACCTACCCCCTTCCTTTCGGGAAAGAAGCTATCTTTGCACCCTTCTGTGTATGAAAATAACCTCTTGGGTCTCCCAT